TTTTTCCCCCATTTTGCCAATTTTTTCACCATTGCATAAATTAAATAGCCAAATGTGCTTTTTACTGTTTTGTCTTGCTTTTCAACGAAAAATATTTACTTAACACTGAACATTTTTTAACATTCTAGCAGACATTATACCAATAAAACACAACTTAACTTAAAATTAATAAGTTAGTAAAATAATATTTTTTGGCCATTTTTTAGACCCCCTTCTTGTCTTCGAATCAGGCATGTATTTTTTTTTACCGTACAAATAAATACAGCCTTGCTGAGCAGAAGAGACTTCTTTATCCGTTAATGTCTTTCTAAAACATTAGAAAATATTATAGATCCCAGTCTGAACACTATGTGTAAATGTTACAATAAATGTATTAATAGAGCTGTTGTAATTATTATTTTCATTATTAGTTTCTTTTTTGTAATTATTTTATTTTACAGAACAACAGTAAAATTACAATAATAACATTTATTAATGTTGCTGGAGTTCTTGCTTTTTCTCAGCTTTTATTTTGGCAGAAACACGCAGGAAGACCTCAGTGCATCTTTTTGTTGACAAATGATTCTCATTACGAATTTGGGAAGACGTTTGTTGCACGTATCGCATTGTCGCATGCCTTGTAAAAATTCATAAAAATGTTACTGAGCAGCTGACAAGTAACACGGTTTCAGCGCAGATTTTCCTCGTGCTTTGGACTTTGAACCCTGCCGCTGCGAGCTCGTGCAGCGCTGTTTGAATACATGCAATTCGTGCGTGTATTAGAAAACATAACATTCTGCAGTTTATTTAATTGTTTAAAGGGATAGTTCATCCAAAAATGAAGATTTTATGTTTATCTGCTTACCCCCAGGGCATCCAAGATGTAGGTGACTTTGTTTCTTCAGTAGAACACATATGATGATTTTTAAGTCCAACCGTTGCAGTCTATCAGTCTTATAATGCATGGCAATGGTAACAAAATCTATGAGTACATCTTGGATGCCCTGGGGGTAAGCAGATAAACATCAAATTTTCATTTTTGGATGAACTATCCCTTTAAGGGCATTTCGCGATTTCAATCATCATACAGTAACCTGCAACAATCACCCTTCCTCTTCTCATCGAAGACATGCGATGCAGTACTAAACAGTCTCTCGCTGTCGGTGCTTGTAATATTTTTTGCATTGTTTTCGGACAGCTTTAAATGTTTCCACACTGCCGACATGTTTGCTGCATTAGTGTGCGCCTCTATTCACGTCACGTCATTGTTCGGTACAATTTATTCAGTCGTTTCGCTTATTCGGCCGAACACCGAAAGAGCTTTTTTTTGCTATTTTCGGCCAAATCATTTCAGTTGGCGAACATTCGGTGCATCCCTACATAAAAGTAGTCTTCAGAAGCCATATAAAATGAGCAGACGGATATTTTTCAGTGACAATTTGCAAAATCCTTTTTCTAAAAAAAAAACAAAAAAACAGTATGACTGTTCTGACTGTATTTTTGCACATCTTTCATTTCAGAGCTGTTTAAACATTTTCTGAACCATTTATATAGCTTTGGGGAAATAGAAAGAAATGGGTTTTACAAGAGGTCAATTCTTAAACTCTGGAAGAGGGTCAGGTCGAGACCACTCACCTGCGATCATGTCATCCACAAAGCTCATTTTGAGCAAAAGCCTCTGAATGAGGCCGACCTCAGTGCTGGTCTGCAGGTTGCGGACACTCTTGCGCAGTATGGCGGTAAACATGCTCCAGATTTCCGCCTGGCATGTGACTTCACAGTGTTCCAGCAGCTCCAACATGCAGATGATGGCCTCTGCATCCTGGATGATGAAGTTCATCTCCAGGTCAAACTCACCACCAACCAGCTAGAGGAGAAGAGAAAGAAAGAGAAGGGAAAAGGACAAGGGAAAAAATAGATTAGACTCATTTTAAGTAACAAGAAGGAGTGCTTTCCTTCTAAAGCTTTTAGCATCTGTTTGATGTCAGACAAACACAAGTGAACCAATTGTGCCAACAAATAGCTTAACTAAACTCAAAGAAACCTTGAAAAATCAACAATCAAATCCTTCTAGTCCTCTTCCGGTCATAAACAATAACTATAATCATTTGGGAATTATAAACACCAATCAATATTTGTGTTCTGTGGACTAAGCAAGCATGAAAATAAAGATTTCAAGACTTGTCTCGAGCACATGGGAAGACTTTAGGCACCTTCTTCAGAGAGCAGCGATGCACACATGTGGAAAATAGACCCCTGCTTCTTGAGGATTATTTTACAACATTATCCAGAGTCCACAACTTGTTGTGAATTTTTGTTGCCAGACGGGGATTAACTCTTGTCACGCCTCAGATCCCATAGATCATTGATTCTCAACTGGTGGGTTGTGACAAAAATGGTTTGAGATAGGCCTGGGCGATAAAACGGTATCGATATTTATCGACGGTACACCTTCTTCGATAACAATATAAAAATATTCGATATAGTGCACGATATAGGCACGTGCTATGAGTGATGCAGGCAGCTCACACAAACACGAACACATGCTGAACTGGCCTGTGATGAGGAGATTGTGAATAAAAAAAATTAATATTAGTCGAATTTCAAATTAACATTTGCATTTGAATGTCAGGGAGCGTCATCAGTGGCGTACAAGATGCAGTGATGATGTAAGTGATGTTGTTGCATTTTTATGTTTTGTTAGTCTAGCCCACGAGATGCGCCACTGCTGTGTTATGCATTCAAAATATTAGAGAAATATAGAAGCTCAATGCGGAGAAGATCTTGATTAGGTGAAAACCGAAAACAAGCCATTCACACAGATGCATATTCTGCATTCTGCATATTCTGTGTCTGCATTAGACGGACAAATATGACTGCTGCACTCGCGTCTCACACAAGAGATGTAGCCATGCAAAGTTAAAACAGTTGAAACTTTTAGAAAACACATCGCCAATTTGTGGAGGTTTATTCCCTTTTACTGCGTCTCTTATGTTTTTAAATGCAATCTGCGTGAATGGCGATTCGGCTCTTTGTATTAAGCAATGCATATATACATGATGCTGTTTTGTTCATAATTGTTTATGCAATTTATGAAATTATATTTGATTTATATGAGTTAATTTAGACGTAATGCACGTTTTTTTATAGACAGTTATTTCCTTGCGTTGACAATTTAAATGCGCTGCATTATTTTGCTCATTGCGCCCTCCTGTGGCCTTGGGAGACAAGCCAAACGTTTCCTTAAGACCTATTTAATCTGCATATAAAACATTAGAAATTAGATATTTGTTTAATTTTTATTGTTTGCTTGACTGTTAAAACAAAAAATATTTGTTGTTTGTCTCAATAAATTGGGTTAATTAAAAAATACAGTGGTTAAATGTAAACATTCTTTTGTATTGCTCTTTGTTTTAAAAAGGTTATAAAAAATGTCAATAATTATCGATACCGAACGATATGAAACATTATATCGTTGATACATTTTTTAGCTATATCGCCCAGCCCTAGTTTGAGAGTTGTTCTGATTGTTTGTTGGAGAAGAGGAAGAAAAATGTGCTCATTATACTCAACAATATTATGCCACAAACTTATCTGTTAATTAACGCGAACAAAATCAGACAGATTTATTAATTTAATTCATTAATTATATTAAAAAATTTAAATAAAATAAATAATCAAATTTATTTATTTGTTTAATAAAATTAAATAAAAAAATAAAATGAAATGAAATAAAATAAAATTAAATTAAATATGGGTTCAACTGTTATGACAATAAAAGGTTTGTGGCAATCACAATATGTTCTGTAAAGTGAATTATTGGTTTCCAAGAGCATGAAACCATTAAAACTCAAGAAACATTTAGAAACCAAAACTGTCAATGTTCTAAGTCCTGAAACAAAACAAGCTCTGAACCGCTAGCTTAAATTAACTTGCTATCTTATTGCCCTGCTGTTTTGATTTGACTGACAGTCTACTGTACTCATTTCTCAGCTGAACAGCTGATGGGCGTCATGACAACCACACTTTCTTTTCAGCCTTTATTTGAGGAGTGATTTGCATGGATGTGTTAGAAGAGCTGTACTCTCTAACGGACCAAAACAGCATGACGAGAGGCAGTGGAGGAAGCGATAAACAGTGCCTCATCCCTGGGGGAAAAAAAAGACAAGCGTTTTATTTATGAAAACGTCCATCAGTCAGTTTCCTCAGCCTTTTATAACATCCTAATGTGTGCAATGACTGACAGTAAAGAAGACAGCAGCAACAATTATAGAGTATAGCAATGCACAGCATGTTAAATCAATTATAATAGCATACAAAGACAGTTTGTCACATTAAACATGCATTTGATAAAAGGAAACCTCACATAAACACTTTAAAAGGACCGTACCGTCAGAAGTAGACAGCAGATGACACACAAACTACTACTATCTTCTGTACAACAATGGCACAAATGAGTATTTATTCACCAAAAACAATAGAACAAGGTCCTGCTTTAATGCCAACCTAAATGAATCATTATGACAGGAAGGTATGCAGCATCTGTCTGACTTCCTAAAAACTAATTAGCATGAAGAATGAACAGAAAAAAAAGTGTCTCTGAAGTCTCAGCTGAAAACACATCTGGACCTAAAGCTGAACCCAGTGGCACACCAATAACTGTTTTACTTATAAAAGTTTTATGCTGAGGGGTTCTCAAAAAAAAAAAAAAAAGGCTAAAAACAAGAAAGTGGAAGTTTGAGAGTTAATTAAACTTCACTCTTCGAAGCCCTGGCATAATCGATATACTGAGTTTGATGTCAGGACACAATTTTATACAATAAATATTATTTGTGACCATTGCATATATTTTAGACATAAAAAAGATCAACATAAGCTACACTGCACATCAATTTAGAAATGATCACTGAATTTAGCCCAGTCTGTTTTGATCAAACCTAATTTGCTTTCCAATTTGCAATTAACAATGTCCCACAGTCATTCAACCAAAAGGCAGTTTCACTGTTTTAATAAGATTTACTTCTGTTTTAAAGAAAACTCAGTGAAGAGTAACAGCATATCAATGAGACTCTAGAGAGTTTTTTTTCCCTTCAATTGTAGTCACAGAATCAAGAACAGAATCATAAAAAACGAATTCACTTTTAATGGCTAAAATCAATCTTCTGAATAAGTAAAAATATCCAATTGTCACGCAGCACTGCTCTTCTATTAAAAGAGTGGGATATTTCTTTCTTCCAGTGTGTGCACTGCATGCTTTGTCACCAGCCATTGTTTTTACTAATTAGTACGATGATTACATGATTAATCCTAGTGTTTATCAAGACATAAAATAAAAATTTTCTTAAATGAACAGTGCAGTTCTTGCTTTCTGTAATTGCTAAATTGTGAAATGTATCATTTAACATCTTCACTTTTAATAAGTCATACACCAGAACAAAAAGGACGGAAGCCTGTGCAGAAGTGTTAGCGTGTTGCCAGACAAGGTCTGCTCATTCAACACAGCTTCTCCTTTAATCACAGAGCTCATCCCACTCTAAAGTGAGGTGTTTAATTGCATGCTCAGATCCCGGGAGTAACTTACATCCATTGTGCGACAAGAGGTAAATGAAAGCACAAAATCAAAGATTAGACACTCATGGTAAAAGAAAGCACTCTCTCTCAGACCAAACAGGAATCACTCACAGTGAACAGTTAATCTCTGTTCATTTGCATTGAATTTCAGTGTCTAGATTACCAGTTGAGAGTCGCTACAGCTCAAAACACTCACCTAAAATATTTTGACGCTAATTGAAATATTTAAACGAAACAACCATTTATTTGCTAGAAGTGCAGAAATATTAGGGACATTGGTGCTTGAACTACCTTTACAAATCTGAACCCAAACATATACATTTAAATAATAAAGTATATACACCATTCAAAAGTTTGTGGTGGCGAAGATTTTTTTTAATGTTACAATTACAATTACAATTCTATTTATTTTAATATATTTTAAAATGTAATTTATTGCTACGATGGCAAATCAGAATTTTTAACTGCCATTACTCCAGTCTTCAGTCACATGATCTTTCAGAAATCATTCTAATTTGCTGATTTGGTGCTCAAGAAAGATTTCTTATTATGTACTGTATTTTAAAAACAGCTGTTTAACATTTTTGTGAATACATTTTTTCAGGTTTCTTTGATGAATATAAGGTTCAAAGGAACAGTATTTATTTGAAGTCAAAACCCTTTTTTTAATATTATAAATGTTTTTACTGTCACTTTTGATTCATTTAATGCATCCTTGCTGAATATATGTATTAATTTCTTTCAAAAGTGAATCCTCTACAATTTTCTACAATACTCTACAACACTCTACTCTACAATTTTCAAGTGACAACTCTTGAAAAAGGTACCTTAAAAGAATAGTTCACCCAAAAAATAAACTTTGCTGAAAATTTACTCACCCTCTGGCCATCAATGATATTAATGAGTTTGTTTCTTCATTGAATCAGATTTGGGGAAATTCAGCATTACATTTTGGATAGCCCAAGAGTGAGTAAATTTCAGCACATTTTAATTTCTGGATTTACTATTTCTTTAAACACAATGGCATTGGGAAGTTTTAGTTTACTGGTTCCATTTCAATAGCTAGGAATGCTGAGGGAAGAAATTAGGTAAATATCAGCAGAACCGCTCAATCTAGAATCCGCTGATTTGGCACATTTATGAGCAAAAACTTAACTTTTATGAGCGTTGCTTAAATGATCAGACTTTTTGGAAGCTCACATAAAGGCCACATTGGTATTGGGAGGTGGACTTGAGATACTTTATAGTTTTAGTGCACATTTGGTAAATGCTGAATTAATAACTGCATAAAGTGCA